TCTAACCAAGTAAGCAGAAATTCTCTGGAAAGTCAGAGGCAATCTAAATAGACTATGTCACATTCCTGTAATAACTCCAAAATGTGTTTAGAGCTTGCACCTCTATGAGCAAGCAGCTGAAATGGAGATGCGTGGAAATAGTTTCTGTCAGTTAGTCAGGGTTTTATGTTATTTTTGCATTACTTTCTCATCTGTTACAGCACTTGAAGGGAGGATGGAACTTAATCATAGAAGAAAAGGCTTTTTAGGGGTATGCTTAAAGGGATGGGGGTGAAGGTCCAGGCAAGGAGGACTCTAAGAAAAACTGCTGCTGCAATTAATTGTGGGTTGTGTTTGAAGTCTTTGTGACAGGTAGTTTGAGCAGGCTAGTTTCAGCCTGGGGGAGTATGGTTTGAATATGACCATCTTTCTTCCTTGCAGATCCTGTTTGCCTGCGCGGAGGCCCTGCATGCGCATGGATACAGTAGTGAAGCATGCCGCTTAACCGTAGACCTTGCCAGGGATCTGCTGGCCAACCCTCCAGATCTCAAAGTGGAGCAGCCACCAACAAAGGTAGAGAGAAATTTTGGGGGTAGAGAGTAGGTTAGAAAGAGTATGTGGAATGGATTATAACAGCATTTCCAGGCTGTGATTTGGGGCCCTTCACTGATGCTTTCTCTGGGTTGAACTTCCCTGGATGTCGTCAGTGTGTCTGATTGCTCTGTGTGCGTGTGAATAGAATAAGAAGCTATTAAGCAGAATTTGGAATCTTCAGAAACTCGAATTTTGTTAAAAGCTTCTTTGCTTTTCCTTATGTTTCAGAGAGAAGCTTGGTTTCTATGTTAAAAGCTGCAGCTCCTTTAGGAATTTGTTTTAAACTAATTGAACAAACCACCCTGTTTAACATTAGCTTCAAAGGATGTTTTGTTTAAGAGATACCTGCTACTGTGTGCTACAAGTTTATACAGCAGCCATAAGAAATCTGGATTTTTGTGCAGCTCTGTGCAGATGACCCTATTTCTTGTGATTCTTTCCAAAACTTAAGTCTCCCATTTCATAATGTGCAGCACTGGAAATGTTACAAGTTTTGCTGTTTAAGGATAAAAGATTGGAGAGGAAAGAAATAAGCATAAACTTCTAGAAAATCACTTGTAGTGGCACTAGGTAGTGTATGTTGTATGGAACGGTTTCCTTGGAAGGGACAGGCATGCAACATCTGCCTGCACAGCATCAGTCCAACAGTGGACATATGTCACATCCACAGCTCTTCCCCTGTGTAGTGCTGGGTTGAGAAAGGGGAAGTAATGATGTGGATTTGTGATTCCTCAGCAAATGGAATAAAATTTAAATGTGTTTTATTCTTTCTCCTGTTTACTAATTATTGCAAAGGGTAGGAGGACAAGCATAGAATCATTTAGGATGTTTACGAAAGTGTCCTGTGACAAATTCCTCCTAACACAGGGCAAGAAGATCAAGGTATCAACCAGCAAGCAGACATGGATGGCAACCAACACCTTATCTAAAGCTGCTTTCTTGCTGACTGTGTTGAGTGAGCGACTGGAGTACCACAACTTGGCCTTCCAAATAGGGATGTTTGCTCTGGAGCTGCAGAGACCACCTGCCTCTACAAAGGCTCTGGAGGTATGAAACATCTCAAAAAGGCAGCATACCTAGGCAACATTGTTTTGCTTGAATGCTTGTGTGGCTTCCATTCCAACTCCTCACAATTGGTTATGCCTTCGTGTTTCCTTAAGATTGATTGCAGTGGGACTATATGGATTGTGTGGACATCCCATTAGCACACATTGATCTGCCAGAAAAATAGTTAAAATGCCACTTCTTCTGGTGTTACGTTCATTGATAGGTAGCTCAGACCTCACGTGCCAACAGGCCTTTGGTTTCACATAAAGCTACAGGCTTGAAAATATTTAAATGAGCGCAAACTCTTTTATGAACATATTATTTCAATTAGGAAAGCTTACTTCTTATCTTAAATAAGTTTCCAGTTTGCTTGGCTAATCTGGGGAAAATAAAGCCATTCATAAGTGCAATTGTCCATATTTGCATTGGTGAAATGATTTGAAGCTTATTTCTTTAAGGTGAATTGGTGCAGTTGTTACATGTTCGAAAATTGTTGTTCTTTGTTGGCAAATGAACATATGCACTGTGCAAGCATATTATTTTGGACAATGCTTGATTACTATTGGGCTTCCTGTTTAGAAAAAAGAAGTGTCCAGTTAAGACCTTGTCTGTGTGATTTGCAGCTGCCTTGTTTTTCACTGCAGAGGTGTGTATTGTTGCTAGGTATCCACCAGCTACGCTTGTTACACTAATTATCTGTACTTCTTATGGCCTGATTAGATTGTGAGATTGGCAGTCACTTACTACCTAAAAGAAAACAATCACTTTCACATGTTAAGAATGGAGAGAATGCAGGAATG